TATACCGGAAAAAGTGTGAAGCTAATCAAAGCTAAAGTAAATGAACACTATTTAACCCAAAACAAAGGAGATGATGCTATAAGAAGACACATGGACCAAATTTACAATGGGACATTCATTCTTTCTCTTGGAAGTAATTTTCTTACATCTCACAAAGCGGTTGATACAAAAGAGAAGCCTTATAAATGTTTGGAATGTGGAAAATGTTTTGGCACAAACGGGCATCTTAATTCCCATAAGATGATCCACACAGGGGAGAAACCATATAAATGCATAGAGTGCGGAAAGACCTTTACTCATATCAGTACACTTAGTTCCCATAAAAGGATCCACACAGGGGAGAAGCCATATAAATGCATGGAGTGTGGAAAGACCTTTGCTCATAGCAGTACACTTAGTTCCCATAAGATGATCCACACAGGGGAGAAGCCGTATAAATGTTTGGAATGTGGAAAATGTTTTGGCACAAACGGGCATCTTAATTCCCATAAGATGATCCACACAGGGGAGAAACCATATAAATGCATAGAGTGCGGAAAGACCTTTACTCATATCAGTACACTTAGTTCCCATAAAAGGATCCACACAGGGGAGAAGCCATATAAATGCATGGAGTGTGGAAAGACCTTTGCTCATAGCAGTACACTTAGTTCCCATAAGATGATCCACACAGGGGAGAAGCCATATAAATGCATGGTGTGTGGAAGGACCTTTGCTTATAGTCGTACACTTAGTTCCCATAAGATGATCCACACAGGGGAGAAGCCATATAAATGCATGGTATGTGGAAAGACCTTTGCTCATAGCAGTACACTTAGTTCCCATAAGATGATCCACACAGGGGAGAAGCCATATAAATGCATGGAGTATGGAAAGACCTTTGCTCAAAGCAGTACACTTAGTTCCCATAAGATGAGCCACACAGGGGTTTACTCATGGCAATGGACTTAGAAGGCACAAAAAGCTCCACACAGGAGAGAAACCATTTTAATGCATGAAATGTGGAAAGACCTTTGCTCAAAGCAGTACACTTAGTTCCCATAAGATGATCCACACAGGGGAGAAGCCATATAATTGCATGGAGTGTGGAAAGATCTTTTCTCAAAGAAGTAATCTATCTCCCCATAAAAGGATCCACAGTCGGGAGAAACTATATAGCAATAGTAATTCCAATTAGACTTCACAATGCTTTACCACACAGCAGTTTACAAAATCAACATTTTAGCGACCTCAAAAGGATGAATCAACCATCAGCCGATCAGGATCGAACTCTTGGCTATGGGCCATTAGCCTTTAGTACTGCATTCAAACCACTGACCCACCATGTCTCTATAAATTTGTTTGTGTATACATATTGTGCTTTGTGATCCAAATGAGAAAAGGTTGAATCTATCAAAATGAAACTTAATGTGGAGAAAAGTAACATTTTACACCTGGGCAGGGATTACATGAAGCCTGGCTCAAAAACAGTAATTGTGCGAGGGACCTTGGGAGTCCTAATTGATGATCACTTAAACATGAGTCACGTGTGTGCAGCAGCAGCCTAGAAAGCTAATGGAATCCTTGATTGTATAAAGAGAGGCATAGAATCAAAGTCATGTGAAGTATTAGTACTGTTGTATAAAGCCTTAGTAAGCTTATACCTGGAATACTGCGTCCAGTTTTGGTCATAACATTACAAAAAAGAATTTTAGCCTTTGGAGAAAGTGCAAACGAGCAGCTAAGATGATTAAAGGCCTGAAGATTACAACATATGAAGAACAATTTCAGGATTTGGGTTTGGCTGGTCTACAGAAAAGAAGGTTTAGGAATGACACAATAGCAGTATTCCAGTACTTAAGCGGCTGCTAGACAGTGGAGGGGGGGTTAATTTATTTTCCAGATCACCAGAGGGCAGAATGAGAAACAACACATGTAAAAAAGCAACCTTGAATTAACGAGAATCTTCCTTACAGTGAAAACAATTAACAAGTGGAACAGCTTTCCTTCAGACAGTGAGGTTGCTTCATCACTAGACATTTTAAAGAAGAGTTTGGATAGTCACTTATCTGAAATAGATCTTATAGAAATATCAATAGATCCTGAAATGCTTGAGCCGAAAGTGCGGATAGAGGTTCCAGGCTCCGAGGACTTGTATCGGGCCTAGGACTTCAGGCATCAGGACTCTGTTGGTTCCTGGATGGAGAGAAGGAGAAAGTTGTGTCTCGGGGGGCTCTTTAAAAAGAAAAAAAAATTCTTCTGATTCATTAGTGGCTCTAGAAGTGAATTAAAATCTCTCTCCAGGAACTCCCATCTCATCAAATTGGACACCCCCCCCCCAATGTTATCAATACATTTCTGACCAAAATGAGGTTAATTTTTGGTTAGCCCACAAAAATGATTCATGCCATCTGAGAGTCTATTCGTTTACCTACTAAAAGTAATTATACGAGTTGAAGTTTTTTCAATAAAATGCCAAATTGAAACTTTTCAATTTCCACTTATTTAAAAATGCTCCATCCATTTTCTTCCTGAAATATTTTTTTCTCATCCAGAATTTGCATTCCTTGTTCAAACAAATAGTCAAGATTTTCACTATGTAAAGCCACTGCCTTTGTTTAATGTTTAATCTTTAACCCCCAATTAGGTCAATTAAGCAAAATTTCAAAAGTCCTTGGAGTTGAGATTGAGAGGTGGAGGGGAAATCGCTGGTGGGTCATTCCATGTCAAGTTAAGAATAGAGCCAACCTTGACCATCATGGATTTTGATGAAATTTGGTGTGAATATGGACATCTATAATGAATATTGGTAAAGTGTTAATTGACTGATTCAATACTTGTGGAGATATAGTCATTTGTGTGACCCCATACCGCAGCCTTCTACAGTATGACTCTGAGGGTTCAGCAACTGTGAGACATAATATCTCTGGCAATATGTTGCTGAGAGAAACAAAATTTGGCCACCTTGTGCAACTTGTTGTGCTCTATTAAACAAAATAAAAAAACCATTCCCATGAGTGATCTCCATCTATATAAGTTGGAGCAAAGTTGACCAAAATGAATGTGGCTCAAAAAATGGTTAAAGTTTGGCTTTTTATATCTCTGGAAGGAAAGGTATGAGGAATGTGAAACTTTGTGCATAATAACGTAGCAGCACAAGGTTTTTGAATATAAAATTTCATTCTACTACTACTTTCCAATAGTTCGTAAATTGAGTGTAAAGTTGACAGTTTTTGTAAAAAATGCCAAGAGTAGGGTATTTTCAGCCCGCTTTTACAAAAAAAGGCTTTCTGGCCACTCCATTAAATCATTCTCATTAGAAAGAGCATGTTTCAACCCCCCCCCCCAAAAGTAGGGTTGGTGTTTCATCGCTGACATATAAAGCCCTAAAAATAGGGACAAAGTTGAGTACATTATATGGTAACATCACATGCATTCTATTATTGATTCATCATATTTCTTTCATTTAAAGATTATACTATTAATTTGTGTTGGTCCATGGTGACATTGTCACTACCAGTTCAGACGCTTGATCAGCAACCTCATCGCCATAGAGGGAACACTCAATAGTCGTGCAATACCAGCCACGGGTGGGTTTCTTGGTTCAGGATCCCAAGTCTGTAGTTTGGTTTCTTCCTTGAGGTATGAGCCCTCAGGCTGCCATTCCCAGGTCTAGTGGGTTCAGCGGCGCTTCTGTGGTCAGCCACGAGATTACCGACCATCCAGCTCACTCATTCTGCTCATCTAGCATGCTCTCCTGGTCTGTCCTGGCTGCTTTGCGAGGACTCCAGCTGATTGGCGTAGCAGGGTTCCCTTCCCCTCCACTATTGACTGGTTGACGCTTCTTGGCCATCCAATGATGCCATCAGCTGTGCGACGCATTGGGAATGGCCATATCTCTGTTTTGCCCTGTGGCCGCCTGCTTAAGAATGGATCATGTATCTTCCCTAGCTGGATGGACGACCCTGACTAAGATTCGCTCATGAACCTTCCCTGGCTGGACGGAGGAACCCCATCTCTCATGTGCTTTGGCTGCAGTTACCGTGGGACGCTGGTTCGTGTCAGTTGGGGGGAGGGTGATGGGCAGCATGTCATAGTTAAGGGACGGGAGGGGATGTGGTGCATGTGTGGATATCAGTGTGGTTAAGGGTGTATATATGCGGTGGTGGGGTTAGAACTGACTTTGTATATTTCCTTTTGTGTGATTCGTCATTTGGTGTCGGTTATCGCAGGATTTGCATAGAATGAGATAAAGCATCTAAATCACCAAACTACTTCACTGTCTCTATCCTTGGCAAATGCCGGAACATTGACAGTAAGTCAGTTCTCACAAACAGTTCTTTCCTGGACTGTTGGCTATTGACTGCAACCTGGGTCGGAGGACTGATGTCTGAAGGGGCTGAATCAGGAAGGATGGAGATAGTCACCAGGGCTGAGGCCACCCCTTCAGATGTCTCAGCGCCAGTTGAGATACCTGCTGTGGACGTGTGCCTGAAGGAGCAGACTATTTCAAGCCATAAGCCCACTGCAGTGGGGCCTTCACCCAGCTAGGCAGCTCCAGTGGAGGAGTGTTGGAAAAAAACGGTGCTGGCTGCTAGTTTGGGCCCATCTTTGGCTACTCCTTGGGGTGGGGGGTCAGCTAAAACAGTAGAGGGGAAGGCATCTAATAGATGATGACAAGGGGAGTGGAGCTACTCGACTGCCCTGTGTAGCCAAACTATGGACTGTCTATGTGAGTGGTTTGGTGAAGCTAGTTTTTGTGATAGTGGGCCCACCGGGTCCTGGTATCAGGAGGAAAGAGGGAGGTAGGTCAGGTTGAGTAGCTGGTATTTGTTGCATACACCCCCACAGCCTGTCTCTCACTTTTGCCTCGCTAGCCTGAAGTTACAGCTGGAGGGGTCTCAGTAGTATTCTAAAAGCCTTGGTAGGGAGTCAGATCCATGCCCAGCGTCCAGTTACCAGTCGCAACAACTGAAAGACCCACCAGTCAGTGATAAAAGTCACTATTAGGCGCCACCCGTGGTGTCCAGTCCACAGCCAGCATACCCATGGCCAGCAGGAGGCGGGCAGAGTTAAGCCATAGTGGGGCCCTGGGAGCCTCCTCTTTCCGTGTCCTTTGATGGAAACCCCAATCAAGTGGCCTTCTTCCTAGGCCAGGTGATTAAACACATGGACAGATACAGCCATGTGTACAATTCACAGTAGGCAATGGTTATGGCCATTGTGGCCGTCCTAGAGGAGGAGGCCGCAGATTGGGCAGTGAACCTCTACCGCAAACATATTAGTAAAAGTACACTTGATTTCAATCCAAATGGAGTCGAGTGGTTTCTTTCCTGATTACTGAATGAAGTCATGCTGACAGCGGGGTTCTGAAGACCTTTTTGACTCCCCGTCCTGAGAGGACGCCGACTTGGCCTCTGACGCCGCCTCCCGGCCATGTTCTGCACCATTTCCAACCTCGCCTCCTTCACAGCCCAACTCGCTCACGCCGGCTCCCGTACCTGAAATGGGTCTTCCTGCTTCAGGGCGGAGTCTTCTGTGGGCGTTCCTTGTCTGTCGAGTTCATTGCCGGAGACCTGTGACACTCCTCCTCCTCCATCAGTATCATCCCCCACACTGCGCAGGTCGGAGCAGATCTGCCGTCAGCCCCCCCATCTGTCTGAATACACTTGCGCGATCTGGGGGGAAGGAGTGTTGGAATTCCACCTCCTGATGGAATTCACACTTGGACAAAGCAGCCAACTCTAGCTGGAGTGGGGGAGGCTGGTTCTGGGTTTTCTTGCGTACAACCCCCCTCGGCCCCTTCACTTTCCCTTAAACTATGCATCGAGTACCTTTGCTCAAGTTCCTCAGTCGGCTCCCTTTCTGCTGCTCTCTCACAG